ATTTCAATATATTCTTACATAATTTTCTATTATCTCTTAAATATAGTAACGATGTAAATTAATATTTATATAAATTAATTTATACAAATTCTTATTTTCTTATTTTTATTCGATCATATTTATTCTTTATTTTATTACTTAATATTATCTTTATTTTTTATTTCTTTTTTCTAAAAATAAATAAATATAAATAATTAAATAATGTATAAAATAAAATTTTCTCTAATTCTTACATATTAATTCTTATATGTCTACATTTATTTTTCTTTTCCTTTTTCATCAAACAATTCATATAATTTCAAAGTCTAAAAATCAAGAGAATATAAAAAATTATAATTTTAAATTTGTATTTAAAAACTTAGCTTATAAATAAATAATAAATACAAAATCCACTGAAGTAATATAAAATAAAAACAAAAAAGTTTAATAAAAATGAATAAATAATTAATACATAAATTAATCATATTTTTAAGATATCTAATTTTTGAATTAACATATAATCCAAAATTTATAATTTCTTCACATTTAACAAAATAAATATTGTTCCTTGATTTTACAATCAATCACATTATTTTAAGCACATTCTATCATCAGAGATCTCCTATTATTCCTAAAATAATAGCGTCAGTTTAATATTCTAAAGTGATCGTGAAAAAAAATGCCAGAGATTTTATGAATCCTTGAACGTGTGTATTCATCTCTATAAAAATGCTCTGAATAATAATTTAATAAAAATAATTTATAAGATGATATAATCTAATATTAATCTAATAATTACTCATCATTAATAAAATAAAATAAAAAGTATAAATATATAAAATGTAAAAAATAAAATGAAATGAAAAGACAAAATTTAAAATTCCTGGATTATTAAAATGACAGAAAAGATTTGTGCATTTGCAATGGAGGCAAATTCTTACGATAACATCATATTCTCGTCATGATAACAAGTAGTTTCTATCGACACATAATTTGTAAAAATATTCTGTTTATTATGTTGATTTATTATATTTTCTATTGCAATATGTTTTTAAACGTCACGATTCAAAAGTATAATAAATTTTAAAAAATTAATATTATTGGCATATCGATAGCAAATGACATCGATTGTTTTTATTTTAAAAATATAACAATTTTATCTTATTCTCGGAATTTTTAGCTTCAATCTCCTCTAATCTATTTTTATTGTTTCTTTTTGTTCTAACAAATATAACTATAACATGTAATAGAATTAAAATTTTAAATATATAGAATGTTTAAATTTTAGTGATCTATTACTGTTTTAAAGAATATTTTTAAATAAAATTGTATTCAAAAATATTGAAACAAAAATAAATTCATATAAAAATTTGTAGATGATTTCATTATTATATTTTCAAAGAGAATTTATTGAAAAATATATATATTTCATTATGTTTTACATACACAGAAACTTTTATTAAAATTGAATTTTAATAAATTTCAGTATAAGATCTTTTAATCAATCTTAGAAACTTAATTAGAATACTTTCATCAACAATTCTAAATAGTTTTCATTTTAATGAAAAAAATACAGTCTTTTAGAAAAATGTCTAAAATATTTATCTTAATATTATTATATATTATAAATAAATAATAACTTTAAATAATAATACTAGTGTCATTAAAGAAATTTCAAAAACTTTCTCTTTCTAAAATCTTTCTCTCAATTTTCCTAATTATTACAAACGAATGTGCCTAATGTGATAGTAAAACTTACTAAGAAAAAAAAAAGAAATTTAAATTGGTGAAAAATATCATACATTTATAGATCGTTAATTATGTTATATCATTATAATATATAAGCATAATAATTATAATCGTTTAATTTAATAAGAATATTTATAGTAAATTATATTATTTAATTCAAAATATTTTTTTATTGTAATAATTATTTTCAAATTGTTTCTTTAATCATTTTTCCTTTAATTAATTAATTTTATTCAATAATTAATTGCTTTATTTATTATACAATTTATTTTTCTTTTAAGTTTTTTATTCATAATATTTATAAAAATCGAAAATGAGAAAGTAAAACTTGAAATTTTTTATTTTTATAATATGCATTAGAGTATCAATAACATTTTAAAATTTAAAATAAGAATTTAATTCGAATTGTTTAAAAAATTTTTGATTTCAATTAATTTTAAATATAGATTATTATTGAATAAATAAAATCTTTGATACCCTTGAAATCAAATATATATATAACAATTAATAAATAAAAA